TTCCTGTCCCAGTCCCCCAGCTTCCTGTCCTAGTGCCCCAGCTTCCTGTCCCATACCCCCAGCTTCCTGTCCTAGTCCCCCAGCTTCCTGTCCCATACCCCCAGCTTCCTGTCCTAGTCCCCCAGCTTCCTGTCCCAGATGCCCAGCCTGACACTAGGACTCCAGGCTGCTGGTTTGGGCCATGCCACTCCCTGTGTGTAGACACTGGCACAAGCACAGATGGGGACCCAGCTATGGAGATGTAGGCACAGATGCTGATGCAGATATACACATACTTATGGCACTGTCTGCAGTGGCAGAAGTCCTCCCGACCCCCAGTGTCCACAAAGACTCCAAGCTAACCCATCGTCCTGTCTCCAACCTCACATTTCTGCCCACCCTTTGTGATTCATCTCAGATGTGCAGGCAGCAGGGTGGACTCTGCTGTGTGCTCATGTGTATGCAGTTTCCATGGAGCTTGTCTCGGGGAACCTTGTTCTGCCAAGATAACTGAGACCATGAGCTTCCAGAACACAAACCAAGTCTTAGAAATTGTCTCCCTGCATACAAGGCCAGACTGCTGTGGCCAAACGAAAGTTCAGTAATTGTTTGTGAATAAATGAACACATTAAAATGATCTAGTTTGACATGTGTGCATGAAAATTTTAAAAAGTGGCAAAGAAGGATCAAAAGGTTCTGTAAACAAAAGTAGTTACAGACAGGCAGGGACAAGAGGACCTTAGAGGTCATGTGACATGATCCTGGCCCTTCTGAACAGAGACAGAGGGTCCCAGAGGGGCAGCGCCTGCCTGGACATCACCCTCTGATGCCCCCCAACTCACAGGGTCCTGCTGAGGCCACAGGGCAAAGGTCACTTTCTGACCATTGTAGTGGTCTTCCTGGTCTCAGGCCTTCTGTCCAAGAGTCAAGCTGTGCCTAGGGAGACAAAGTAGAGGAGAAAGAAAACACTGTACTTCTGGAGCGGGGTGTGGTGATGGTCACCTGTAATCTTACCATTCTGGAGGCTGAGGCAGGAGGATCACTGTGAGTCCAACGCTTCCCTGGGCTACATAGTGAGTTCAAGGCCCCCTGAACTACACAGAAAAACCTTTTGCCCAAAATCCAAACAGGCAAACAAACCACTATACTTCATGAGTGAAGAGTGCTC